AGGGTTTAGGGTCTAGGGTTAAAGGTTTAGGGGTTAGGGTTTCCCCCCTCCAATGCGACAGGGTTCCAGAATGGTTTAGGGATTTAGGGATTCCAGCCCGGTGGATCCCAAGACCTGACCGTTAGGGGGTTCCTTTAAGGGTTCCTAAAAGGGCTCCGGTAAGGGCTCCTGTAAAAAACCCTAAACCCTAAACCCTAAACCCTAAACCCTAAACCCTAAACGGGCTCCGGTAAGGGTTCCTTTGGAAGCCAGGCAACGTGGCTATGAAGGGCCGCGATGGAGTGCTCCGAGGCACTTCTTGAACTTGACTTCGCTTTGCATTCGCTTGAGGGGTTGTTGTAGGGTTTGGGATTCATTGGGCTAGGGTTTAGGGTTTAGGGTTTCGGGTGGTTAGGGTTTAGGGTTTAGGGTTTCGGGGTCTGGTCCTGGCACAAAGTTGCTTCCCCTGACTCCCAGCCCCTCCGGCAGGCGCCTATGTCGTGCACGACTGCTGCGACGCACACTCCTCGCAGCTGACCACCTCGCAGCTGCCGGACATCATCCTCATAGGTGGCCCGGATAGCAGAGCTCACATCTGAATCGCTACTCCAAGTAAGAAGTGAATCCGATGACTTGTAACAGTCCGGCACTGGTCTCCATTTGACGGACAAGACTCCCGCAGTGCATGCATGGGCGGGTTACCTCGTCGTCGCATCATGGCATCATGGGAGGGTTCGTCACTGTGAATCGCACCGCACCGACAAGCTGAAGCCCTAGATCCCACCGCATATCTGAAACCCTTAACCCTAAGCCCTAAACCCAATCCCTCAAAGTCATGGCATCTATGAACTATAGATCCTACTACCGAAGGCAGTGGGCAGGACGTGGCCCTTGTCATGGAGACGAAGGCAGTCGCCGCTCAACGATGGTGTTGGGTTCAGTAGCAGCAGCAGAAGCGAGGACAACAGAACCAGAAATTTGAATTGTCGGGTTTTGTCGTTTTGTGTAGGGGGTCAAACACAGAACTCCTTCCCTCAGAGAACATGTAGTATTTCTGATTTATGCTTAGGCATTACCAGGATTAGGATTTAGGATACAGGTTGATTCCTCAGCACAGAACCCCTACCTACTTGATTCATGCAGACAGAGCAGAGCAGAAGCAGGTGAGGGCAGAAGTCTTCGAGGGCTTGTCCCCCCCACACGTCTCCAAAAAGGCTACCCAGAGACTCCAATATCCCTTAATTAAGGAATATACCTTAAATCTTATTAGGGATCCTGCTATAATTTAAGGTATATTCCTTAATTAAGGGATATTGGAGTCTGTGGGTACCAAACCCCACAATGCCAAAACGCTAAACCTATTGCTTTAGTCCGCCGTTTGTTACGAGCTATCTAGGCTCCTAGTTTCGAGTCCCGGGCCGGGTGTGGAGGGGGATCTGTCGAGTCGAAGCCTTAAGCCCTAAGCCCCCCAAAAGTCCAAATCCTAAATCTCTAACTTAGGGTCCACTTTAGGTTCCGTTTTATAAGGGTGCCGTACTATATTGGGGATCCCCAAAAGGGACCTACCCAAATCGAATCAATGAGTTTAGGGTTCAGGATTCAACATGTCTCAACCCCCCTACACCCCATGCGGCCCTAACGCCCAACTACAAGATTCTCCCCCCCAAAAGTCTTTCAAACATAAAAATGGACTGCTCAAATACTGAACCCTGAAAAGCTCTCACCCTAAACCCTAAGCCCTAAATAACAAGACATCCATAAATGGGTTTAGGGTTTAGGGTTTAGGGTTTAGACCTTACTTCGGAAGTCTCTTAAACCCTGAACCTCACCCCCGACACCCCAAGCCCTTCACCCTAAACCCTAAAGCCCAAACCCTGAACCCCAAAGCCCTAAACGCTAAACCATGCTAAACCCTAAACCCCAAACCCTAAACCCAAAGCCCTACACTCTAAACCCAAAGCC